TATAAATATTGGGGCTGTTTTGAGATTGTAATTATGAATTAATCAGCAATCATTAGTTATCCATTATCATGGCTATCTAATTTTTATTTTTTTTTAATCAAAAATTTTATTTATCCCAACAATTTCATTTAATTTTTGTCCCCAAATTTGATCAAATAATTAAGTTTTGATTTCCATAAGCCTTTTATGTTTTCCAAAAAGGCCCCCTACCCAAAAAATAAAAAATAAAATGAGAAGAAGTAAGTTATAAACGGTTCAATACGCTTTGACAAACAAAATTCAGCCCATATTTGATTTAGCTAAAAATAAGATTGTCATGATAAAAATTGATGAAATATACAGTTGAGAAATTGATTAAAGTTACGAGTCTCATGCAATATATGATTAAAATTAATAGTTAATTTTGATTTAAATTTATATTAACTTTTTTAGATAAACAAAAAGGGGCTTAGCTTAAATTTTAAGTAATCTACTTAGGTCCTTCCCTTTTAATTATTATACGAATATAAAAAGTTTTAAGTTACAAGAATGTAGAAACTGTTGGGAATTTACTTAATTATGCACAGCGGAAATAAAACAATTTTCAATTCCCAAACGAGGATCTGCAATGTGTTTAGATAGAAACTGTGATGAGAATGATACCTTTGATGAATTCCACAAACTCTTTTGCTTTTTCTTGAACTCCAATGATCACGATCTGCAATCCAAGCTGTTNTATAAATATTGGGGCTGTTTTGAGAGTGTAATTATGAATTAATCAGCAATCATTAGTTATCCATTATCTTAATAATTTTTTATCAAAAATTTTATTTATCCCAACAATTTCATTTAATTTTTTTTCCCAAAATTGATCAAATAATTAAGTTTTGATTTCCATAAGCCTTTTATGTTTTCCAAAAAGGTCCCATACCAAAAATAAATAAATACATAAAAATGAGAAGAAGTAAGTTATAAACGATTCAATACGCTTTGACAAACAAAATTCAGCCCATATTTGATTTAACTAAAAATAAGATTGTTAGAACAAAAATTGATGAAATGTACAGTTGAGAAATTGATTAAAGTTATTTGATTTAAATTTATATTAACTTTTTTAGATAAACCAGAAGGGGCTTAACTTAAATTTTAAGTAATCTACTTAGATCCTTCCCTTTTAAATATTATACGAATATAAAATGTTTTAATTTATAAGAATGTAGAAACTACGTTGAATTGAACAAGACGAATAAATATTTTAGTATTTTACGCATTATTTTTTGAACTAGTCTTGTTTGCTAGCATTGGAAGAACCATAATATTTTCGAAGTGTCGATCCTTGAATTTATCAAATTATTTAATATTCACATAACACTTAAAACACCAAGACAGCCACAACAATGAATAATTACTAAAGGTGAAGATTTTACTTCTTCAACATCATCTGAATTAACCTACTACCAACCAATTTAATTTGATGAAACCAAAAATCAGAGAAATTTTGAATTGGTCAAATTTTAAGTAGAAAAAAATTGAATATACATTGTAATATATCCATAGTATGGTCTGGTTGGTAGGTTACAATGACTACTTAATCCAATAAAAATTGGAATGATTTGATTCACGGCATCTTTCTCTTGATTTTCCTTCTTCCACAATTGATTTTCCTACCGTTTTCTTTTGACCGTTTCTCACAAAAGCTCAACCGCAATTTTGGAAATCTAATCGTTGCTGGGCTCCAACTGATATATTCTTACTGTGAATTGAAAAAAAAAAAAGCTACACCAGACAGCTTCTAATTGTGCTAAGTTATGCACTTTTGTCCTTCATTCACTATAATAACAAGGAAAAAATTGCGGTGGAGATTTCACTCTTTTCGATAATATGCAGTGAGGTGTCAATTCTTTAAATCGTAACAACCACATTCCAATTTTTTTAATAAATGTGCACCGAAAGGACTATCGATTTTCATAAAAATTTTATCCATTAATCAAAAGTCAAAATTTTAATTTTAGTTTGATCAATTTTAATAAGGACAAAAGAGCCCCCTATCATTTTTCACTTTTAAGAATTAAAATAAGAAAATAATTGATAACTGATAAACAAAATAAATAAATAAATAAAAGGAAAATATGATTTTTCTTGTCCACATATCCCATTTACCCTTTTCCATCCACCGCCACCACTGCAACCTCCATCCTTCCTGCGGCACCACCCCCTCGCCCAACTCGTTTCAAACGGAGCCGGTTCCAAATATGAAAAAACCCACAATCAAATGCAATAATATAAATGTCGGTAATGTGCCGATTTCGATTTGGTCGGTTGGAATTTATATATATAAAGAAAAAAGAACAAAAAATTGGTTCTTTATGCTCTATGAACCTTCTATTTATGCTCTACATGACTGAAATACAATGCAAAATAAGAGCTTGTTTGGGAGAGATTTTAATCCAATTAAAATTGAAAAATATAGCCGTTATTGGGTCTCACTCGTCTAATAAAAGTCAACAATAACGACTAATTTTTCAATTTTAATCCGCTTTTAATTCCTATCAAACAAGCTCTAAATAAATATTTTTTGCTTAATTTTAGGATCTAAATAGACGTGTAGGCGTCATATAAAACCAATTACAAAATCATATATAGTAATTTTTTTTTTGGTAAATACACGGAAAAAAATAATAATAAATAAGTATAGACTATCCGCATAGAATGTGAGAGGAAGAGAGAGCATTTCAAGAATCTGTATTTCACGTCCAATTTCCTCAGGTCCCATTTTCCAAATTTTCCTATTTTGATTAAATTCATACAATTTTTGTAGCTTAATTTTGCATTTGGAAATGGCGAATTTAGAGGAATCAAGCCCCCTTTTGCCAAACCAACAAGAAGAAGAACAAATGGCACAGCCTGAAATGAAATCCGGGGGCACCGCTAAAACTACAGCTCCTCCGCATGTAGAGGCGGTGAAACAATTGCATCCGGAGGTGCCGATGGGCTGGCCTGCTGATGGGCTGCCTCTGAGTGTGATGGGTGAGCCCATGGCCACGATGCATAGGGCACAGTGGGACTCCGGCCTCTGTGATTGTCTTGGCAGGAACGATGACTTCTGCAGCAGCGATCTTGAAGTTT